GAGAGAAAGAGAGTGAGAGAGAGAGAGAGAGAAAGAGAGAGAGAGAGAGAGAGAGAGAGAGAGAGAGAGAGAGAGAGAGAGAAAACGAGAAATATACAGCAAGAAGAGGCAAGGGTTTAAACAGACAATGACAAACTATTGGCGTACTACAAGCCTTGCTTTGAAACAACGATACTCCATTTTGGAACAGGTCATAGATGTGTGTTATAACACCCAGGACTGTGCACTCTAACGGAACTCCGGTTCATTATGGTGCGCACCATTTGACTCTGTTTTGAACCAACTGCAGGACAAGGGGTGGGGACAACTGCGTGCCCACTCGACTACAGCGAGACTGGTGCTTTGTCTTTCATTTGCACGCCAACGGTTCGCACCATCAAAGCAAAGTATTGATAGAGATCAAAGATCGTCAGCTATGACAGTGTCTGGTCTAGGATTTTTATATTCCGTTCTATGGAACAAGTAAAAGTATGTCAAGGACTATGGGACATCAGCACTGACAGCGGCCGTGGACTCACCCCAGTCCTCTACCAACACAGTCCTGTTTTGTGGACACATCTCTGGTGTCTTGTCAGACCCACTGATGTGGGTGGTTGGCGGGTGCTCTGATGTGGCTTGCTTCTTCTTTCCTATCCAACATCTATCGTCCCGATCTCTCCTCCTTCATTTTTATGTTTGTTACTCTCTTGTAACACCTCTAAGCTTCGGGCACTTATATGACCTTATTGTGTTGCAAGTGCCGTAAAACTCTTACTAAAACTAAACTAAAAGACCCACGGATGTGATACCAACTTTACGAGCTGGCACACCTAAAAGAATCCAAAGTCTTTGGAGAGACCCGGGGGAGAATTTTCTTGCATTTATTCATTTTCAGAATGTATTCTGATATAGGATTGTATCATTCAAGTCTTAGTTTTGGTAAAGGTTTTACGGCACTCGCAACTGCATAAGGTCATATGAGCGCCTGAAGATTAGAAGTATTACAAGCGAGTAACAAACATAAAAAAGAAAAAAGGGGAGAGAAAGACGATAGATGTTTGATAGGAAAGAAGAAGCAAACCACACCAGAGCACCCGCCAGCCACCCACCATTCAAGTCTATAGAACAAATAAATAAGCTGTCACAGATTATGGGACATCAGCACTGAGAGTGGCCGGGTGCTCACAAAAATCCTTTACCGTCACCGTCCTGTTTTATGGACACATCCCTTGTGTCTTGACAGACCCACGGGTCCCTTGTGCAAGTTGCACACGTCAAAGATCCCTCGGTGGTCTAAAATCGATAAGAGTAGGCTTCAGCCGCCTCTCAGGCAATATTCAAAAATTTCCTACAAACTGAAAATATTGAATGTGTCCCGTGCGCTCATATGACCCTATCCAGTTGTGAGCGTCGTGAAACACTTACCACAAAAAAAAAACCACGGGTGTGATACTAACTTTATGATCAGGCGAACGCTAATAGACACTCCAGTCTTTGGAGAGACCTGGAGTAAAATTTTAATGCATTTATTCATTTTCAAAACGTTTTCTTTTTCATTGATCCCGACAGAAGTCTCGATCTTATAAAGACCGCTGGTCTTTATTCCAAAATGTAAATAATGCTATTTTAAAACTGTAAATTCCTGCATTTAAAACTGATTTTTTTACGAAGCAGTTTTAGCTATTTCAACCATTCTGACTTGCAAAGTAAAACCAAGACTTGCTTTGATCTAACATGAAATTAGCCAACGTGAGTCCTGCGCGCACATATGGCCTTATGCAGTCATGATGGCCGTAAAGGTTTTACCGACCTTAAACTAACAACAACAATAGCTTTCAAGTATATGTGCACCATTACCTTTCATAGTAAGTGCGTTTAGCACCTATCTAAGGAGTTCAAGACTGGGTGGAGGTCAGCATTAGAAGAAGAATGCATAGTGCATTTATTATTGATAACCGCAGACAGAAGATACTTCATGTTATATTTGGCTGTGTTGAAGACTTGCCGAGCACTGATGGAGTCTTTTCCTGCTGAAGCCCAACGTTAAGGACTGGGTTGAAAGAATACCTTTGTTGATGGAGAGAACACGGTTCTGACAGCCTCTGTCTGTTTATTTATCTATCTGTCGATCTTTTTAAATTTGTGTACATTGAGCTGTCTATATATTTTAACATTTGACAAAGTAAAGAGATAGAGAGAGAAACAAAGAGAAAAATAAAGAAAAAACGAAAAGGGAGAGAGAGAGAGAGACAGGGGGGGGGACAAAGAGAGGATAGAAGGAGGGGAAGAGGTATGGGGATGTGTAGAAAACAGAATTCTATGTACGTTTACCACCTCCTTAGGGACGAAGCGAACACATTCGCAGACCAAAGATAATTTTTTAGCACTTTCTAACAATGATACACAAACCACACACGTGAATGCGCTTATTTTTTCATTACACGCTTGTCTTTTTACTGACACAGAATTTAAAAATCCGTTTGGAAAACGAAGTTCTGTTTGTTTTGTTGTTGTGTCGTTGTTGCTTTTGATGCACCGAGACAGCGTCCTCAAAATAATAATGTTGTGTTGGCGAATGACCAGAATGTGCGGCCCCAGTGAATAAATGCGTTTTTGTTCCATATCTTCTAAACAGAACGAATGTCTTTCCATTAAACGAAGGCGTCATTATAATATTAAAATCCTCTTTTTAAACGCACTAGTCTTGCACATGTTTGGCAACGTCATAGTATTCCTTAGCTACAATCATGGCGTACTTATTAGAGTGAGGAAGAACCACTCAGAGAAAAAGAACGCTTATGTTTATTGCCAATAACTTTGATTCAGGTACGATAGAGGATGAAGTTCCAAACTCAGGGAAACAGGAAAATTATTCGTACTTTTCAACCACCAAATAACCATCGAAGGATATGGAAAGGCTATCATTTTAAAAACTTTTTTTGTGTGGGTTTTTTTTTCGGGGGGGGGGGA